CCTTTTTTCTGTCTGTCTTTCTTTCTGTCTGTCTGTCTTTCTTTCTTTCTTTTTTTCTGTCTGTCTGTCTGTCTGTCTGTCTGTCTTTCTTTCTTTCCTTTTTTCTGTCTGTCTGTCTGTCTGTCTTTCTTTCTGTCTGTCTGTCTGTCTGTCTGTCTGTCTGTCTTTCTTTCCTTTTTTCTGTCTGTCTGTCTTTCTGTCTGTCTGTCTGTCTGTCTTTCTTTTTTTCTGTCTGTCTGTCTGTCTGTCTGTCTTTCTTTTTTTCTGTCTGTCTGCCTGTCTGTCTTTCTTTCTGTCTTTCTTTCTTTTTTCTGTCTGTCTGTCTGTCTGTCTTTTTTCTGTCTGTCTGTCTTTCTGTCTTTTTTCTGTCTGTCTTTCTTTTTTTCTTTTTTCTGTTTGTCTTTCCTGTTTACACAAACTATATCTGCCATTTATTTCAACATAAACTCTATTCTCTGGGTCACCCTGTCAGTATATAGATTTTGTGATTATCGGCACAATAATCTAGTTATTGCTTTTCCTTAAACATTATTATCACGTGAGCAAAATCCAGTATTAGCTGACCTCTCTAATTTGTGTATATTGATGTATTAGACCATGCATAAGCATGTATTGAATAAAACATGTCTTTACTATTTTTGGATACTTGGTGTTGGGAGTTCTGGCAGATTGGTGAGTATATGTCTAGAAATCTTCCCACATTTCTGAATCAATACTAACCATGTCACTGATTTGTAATTATTTTTCAACCATGAGATGATGACTTTGTGCTCCCTCTGAGGAAATGCAAAAGTGTGTATGTCAGGCCATAAATCCACAAGAACTCTGCACAGATGTTTGCTTTGGTGTTGCCACCCATCGTAGTCCCTCTTATGAATCATTTTCTGGATCAGCTGTGCATGACGTGCGAGCAGTGAAATGCTCATGGATATCAGAATGCTTGTATTCTGCAAAATTTTTGTAAACTGTAATCTTACAACAGAGGGGACAAAACATCTGGTAGACAGTCCGTTAGACCCGCTGTAATCAAACAGCAATAATTCAGAGGAAAAGAAAAATCACTCACTGCTCTTTTCTGGAAAGCTTTTAGATACCTAAAGCACTCTTTGTGTATTGCTTGTGTTTCTTTGTTGATCTCTATTACATTTACTTGCATGTTTTTAAACTATAGTTAAATGAAAATCAGTTTTTTTTTTTTTACAAAACTACATTCTATTTTTACTATTCTGATTATGTAAGTGCATAAATAGATTTTTTAAAATTAAGTAGCGCGACAGTTAAAAAGCAGTGTTCATGTTTTTCATTTTTTATATTAAACTTGATATCAAGAATTATTGAATTTCACTTCATGTGATGCATCAAATTTTTTTTTAATTTTTTTTATTAAACCTTTGAATCATAGTCAAGTCAAATCTTGGTAGTCATGAAAATGCAAACTTTTCCGATTAACTAATGATTATTTTATGATTAATTGCTTTGCATGCCAGTTTTTTTGCATTCCGTTTATAGTTACTTGTTATCACAGTCTTGCTGCAGGACACAATGTAATGCAGTTCAGAATATGGATGGATCAGTGGCTCTGAACCAGTTCCCAAAAACGGGTAAAACAGGTCTTTCTTATCTGTCCTGAGTCTTGCAGCAGGGGAAAAAAACATTGGTATAAGCAAATGATAAAAGTGGATCTAAGTAGAATAGAATAGCTTTTTATTGTCATTGTACAGCTGTGCAATGAATTTTTTTTGCTCTCACATTGAAAGTACACATATGCATACAAAAATCTACATTTAACAAAATGTAAACAATGATGCAGAAAAAGTAAACAGTGCAAATGTAAACAGGTGTACAGTAGACTGTGCAAAATAGGTATAGTGTAAATGTTGCAAATATTGCATCTGAAATCTTCATATATAAATCGAGAGATAGCGATCGAAAGGGAGAGGAACATATATGCATATATACCTTTTACACAGAACTAGAATATAAATACATAGCATAATTTGTCCAGAATGCTGCATGGCTGTAAAGGAAAGGTTGTGCAGAAAGCCCTTATATGGGAATGTTTTGGGTGTGTTTTCTGCAAATTACTAACCTCGGTCACACAATTTTTTTGTGAGAAGGTCTCTTATGCGTATGAATGCAAAAAATCCACTCAGTTATTACTGAACAAGTCCTATTGTTTGTGCCGAGCACAATGTGTTTTGTGTGGTGAGGATAGTGGCTGCCGAGAGCATGAAATCGTCATGTTTATAATATGTGACCCTGCAGCACAAAAGCAGTGTTAAGTCGCTGGGGGATATTTGTAGCAATAGCCAACAATACACTGTATGGGTCACAATTATACATTTCTCTTTTATGCCAAAAATCATTGGGATATTAAGTAAAGATCATGTTCCATGAAGATATTTTGTACATTTCCTACCGTAAATATATCAAAACTTAATTTTTGATCAGTAATATGCATTGCTAAGAACTTCATTTGGACAACTTTAAAGGCGATTTTCTCAATATTTAGATTTTTTTGCACCCTCAAATAGTTGTATCTCGGCCAAATATTGTCCTATCCTAACAAACCATACATCAATGGAAAGCTTATTTTGACCCTTATGACTGGTTTTGTGCTCCAGGGTCATACATTACTGGGCACTATGCAGTTCATGATAATGTTAATGCATTTCAGTTGTAGTTTTTTTTTTTTCAAGGAATCATTCAGGACTTGTTTTTAAATTTCTCCTTTAGTGATCTGAAAAAGAAAAAAGGTCACAGCTTTAGAAAAACAAATCATTTTTGAGTGACCTATCACTTCAGGGACTTGTTGGATTGCTTTTGTATTATAAACAATGCTACTGTGTTGACTCACTTGATGCCACGTTATAATATAATTAAAAACCAGTTGAGAATCACTGGTATAGAGCATTTAGTAAACTGGCCTTGTTTTGTGTTTTCTATCATTCAGGTGTGGACGACACCCGGTCCTGATCCTGTCCGTCATCTTCATGTTAATTTTCGGCATGACGGTGGCCTTCTCCGTCAACGTCCCGATGTTCAGCACCCTGCGCTTCTTTGAGGGCTTTTGCTTAGCAGGAATCACGCTCTCGCTCTATGCTCTGAGTAAGTATAACGTCTGAGATGAATCAGCTTTATTAAGAGCTCTGGTCCAGAAGACATTTACATTTACTGAGCCATTATCCGTCATTCTGTGTGCAACAAGCTTGTATAGTTTGTTTCAAGGGAATACATTTACTTACAATTGCAATACGCATAAAAAAATATATGCACGTCAACATTAAATATACAGAATGATGCACAAGTACATTAACAGACTGAATGCTGTAAGATAGAGATGCAGTTTGAATGAGCTGTCTTTGCATATCGGCATTACAGTTCAATGCTTGATGCAGTTAGCTTGTAACAATTTAGCTAGTTGTTGATTGTATCTATAGAAATAATATATTTTAAGTTTATTGCAAAATATGCATATTTATACAAATACATAATTTCGATGCATAGGGAGGCTGTGTCAGTTACGTCATTTGCATAGTGGGCGGAGCTAAAAAGCTGTTGGCTGTAATTGGTGGAATTGTCTGAACAGCATTATGGGTAATGTAGTTATTCTACTAATTCCACTATTAAACATGATTATTTTAAAAATAAGTTGAATCAATGCACATAGATCACATACACTATTACTTAACAACCTCAGCGCTCACAACAGGTCTGCCTTTTGTCAGTTATTGTTAAGAAAATGAATGATTTCGGTTTGAGAAGATCATCCAGCCTTATAAGCAGCATCTAAATGAATGTGTTTGATTTGTGTCTCTCACATGAAGGTCTTACCCTTAGAATGTCACAGAGGTTAATTGTGGTCCCTCAACTCTATCATACTGTCTTCTCAGTTTGTTAGAGTCATTCAGATGGATTACCCACAGACTAGCAGTGACCTTCTACATGCTTAACAGTGAAGACATTTTCTGATGAGTGATAATCCTCTTTAGATGATGGCCCTTCCAGTAATAGGGTTTGCCAGCAATGCCTCACCTGACTGTCTGATGGCCTCGAAAAGCTTTAACTCCATGCTGTAATTGCCTTACAGTGGGTACGGTGGGCCTTCATTTCCTTGTCATAGTCATTTTCTTGACCCCATCTACCTTGAAAAGGCACTCCCAAAAATAGACCCGGCCTGGACTATTGGTGTGCATTAAATAACTATTGTTGTTTTGATATACCGTGCATTGATTATTGTTTTATTATCTTCCCACTAATCAAACTTTTAAAGGGATGGTTCACCCAAAAATGAAAAAACCTCATTTCGTTCCAAACCTGTATGAGTTTCTTTCTTCTGTTGAACACAAAAGAAGATATTTTGAAGAATGTTGGTAACCAAAGAGTTGACGGTAGCCATTGACTTCCATAGTATGGAAAAAAAAAATTAATAAAAAACAATGGCTACCGCCAACTCTTTGGTTACCAACATTCTTCAAAATATCTTCTTTTAGTATAGTAAACTACCTTGGATGAGTTAAAGATGACATATTCATATTCATATTCATATTTTGTCAACTCCTAGTCAACTTGAAATATGAAGATGTATTAAATGGCATGCATCTACTGTTATATAGTATATTTGATTTATATATATATATACAGTATATAATCTATTTCAAAATTTAATAGGCATATAAATCATTTTATGACAGCCCCAGTTTTCAAATGCTTGTTTTACAATTGGAAGCATTTTGTGCAACAGTTTAAATTTGCGAATTTGCAAAACATTTTAATTTGCCAATACAGTGTAAAAGCTCAAGAAACCTGTGTGCAGTTGTCTGACACACACTGAAATGCAATGCATGTGTTCCCTATTTTCCATGCTACTTTAAAATATCTTTTAAAATATTTTTTTTAATATCCTTTAAAGATTTAGTCATTATTTATAACCCTCATGTCATTCAAAACTAAAAAAAAAATCACTTTTTTTTTCTTCTGTGGAAAAATGATGCATATAAATAAATAAAGGCTACCCTTTTCGTACAACAAATAGGACAGGGTGCCAAAACTCCAAAAAGCACTATAAAGTATCATAGCAGTAGTCCATATGCCTTACATTTGAAGTCTTCTGCAGTCAGATATGATAACTTGGTGATGAGCGCACCATAATTAGTTATTCACTGATAATCACCTTCCTCCAGTGCTCGTAGATTGTTATTCAAACTTGGTGGGTGAAGAGAAGCCTCACCATTCGTTCTTACACTGGGGGCTGTTGCTATGCAAATTTCTTACGTTTCTAAAGCCTTGACAACCCCAACCTGGACATGACTAAAGGACGAGATTAAATACTGAAGATACAGATGGAAAGCAGCTGTGGAGAGTAGACAAAAAGACAAAACATTTTAAAGTGAACTATGTTTCTTGTAGCTTCTCGTGTAAACACTGTTCAGAACCGCTGGAGAAAAGTATGTGATGTGCGTGCTGCCATATTTGCACATGCTAAATTTTTAAGCCAACAACCTGAGCTGTAAATGTCATGTGACTAATTACTCTAGAGCTGCGGGACAATTACATCACGACAACACAAGAATGCACGCTTAACTAGTGACTGTCCTGAGATGTAATGTAAAAATCACACATCGTAAACGGCATGAATTAATACACCCCCTCTGAACATTAATACATTTTTATTTCTTAATGATAATTATTGGAATTTATGGGAAGCTGAAAAACTGTACATTTATTAAATGAATGATACAAATTATTCTGCTTAAATTAAGATTGCAAAAATGATTACAGCTTTGAACAAATTCAATTAAATGTGAAATATAGAATGTAATATGTTCTCCATATTTTTAAGTTTACTGATCTGATCCTTATTGGCATTGAGTGTACAAATTCACAGAAAACTGTCACATCTGTCCTGTTTAACTCCTGGAGGTTTGAGAATAATTCAGTGGACTATATGACATTTTAATGGTCAAGAAATTACTTCTTTTTAAATGTTTTGGTTCAATATACTCACCTGTGGGTCAAACTTGCTTTTAATTGCACCAGGAAATTTTATTTTCCTAATTAATATTTACGTGCCTCTTTGGCAATTGATCGATCAGACTTGCTGGGATATTATATCTTCAAGAAACCATGATGCATCATCTATGTAAAGAAGAATCGTTACATTTCAGAGGGGGTGTACGTGTACTTATTACTTATTTATGCTGTGTGCTGTAATTGTTCTATCTAAATATATTTTACATGAATAGTTTCAGGATTAGTTGAACTGAACAATAAGCTAACATGTTATAATTAGCGTGTGCGTACCCTTAAATCCACGCCGACACTCATATTTATAAAAACTAATGTGGAAATGTGCTTCGCGTCAGGTCAGGGTCTGAGCAGACGTACACACTTTTTCTTGTTTGAGTACTGCAGGTTTTTGAAAATGTATGTACGTTCATTCTATGAATCACGCGTACGCATATTTGAGAGATGATCGTAAGATCAGTTTTTGGATGGTTTCTGCGCAACATTTTAGAAATGAGGCCCCAGATCTGTGGACAGAAATTCAAGCTGAGGATTTTAAATCCTTTATTAGAGAGGATAGGTATAAATATAAAATGTAGTATCTAACAACATTAACTTACTCTAGTCAAAGGTGACTTCTTGTTTATCATGTCTTTCTCCAGGTAGATTGTGTGTTATCAGCGGCTCAGTGTCTCTCCCATATTGTTGAGCTCAAGAATATCAAGTCTGCATTTTCCCAAAGAGATCTGATAAATCAAACATGTACGATGAAAGGTGAGCACTAGCCAATGGGATCACTGATTTTCGCATTAGTCCCGCCCACTTCCAAAACAACCTGCTTGCAGAGGCTTCACCTTGGTCTGAAAGGGATAGTTCACCCCAAAAACATTTTTTTGAAAACAAAAGAAGCTATTGCGATGAATGTTTGTAACCAAACAGTTGATGGTAGCCATTGACTTCCATAGTCTGGGGGGAAACAAAGTATGGAAGTCAATGGATATACCGGCAACTGTTTGGTTTCCAACATTCTTCAAAATATCTTCTTTTTTGTTCAACAGAAAAAAGAAACTCAGAGAGGTTTGGACCAACTTGAGGGTTAATAAATCATGACAGAATTTAGATTTTTGGGTGAACTATCCCTTTAAAGCAGGGGTGCCCAAACTCTGTCCTGGAGGGCCAATGTCCTGCAGAGTTTAGATCCAACCCCAATTAGACACACCTGAACCAGCTAATCGAGCTCTTACTATGCATGCTAGAAACTTCCCAGCAGGTGTGTTGAGGCAAGTTGGAGCTAAACTCTGCAGGACACCGGCCCTCCAGGACCAAGTTTGGGTACCCCTGCTTTAAAGCCTTTGTTTTTTTGTTGTTTTTTTTGCAAATGGTTTTGTTTGCATATCAAAAATTCAAAATTAAATCCAAAGTCAAAAATGAATGATTGATTCCCATTGAATAGCTCACAACATAGGCAGCTGAGAAATCTGGAGGCTAAGAGCAAATCAAAACAGAAACACTCAAGACTAAGTAGGCAAGGACTAGACTAGACAGTTAATCTACAGCCAGAGAGAGAATCCAACGGGAACAATACAAGACTGACTAGGCAAGAGAAGTGCTCTAACTGTTCAACTACACCCACAGAATAAACAGACTAGAGAAACAAGACTAGGCTAGATCAACAGGCTGGAGCCGGACCAACTGAGGGAATGATTCACCAAATAACTGATAACGAGATGAGAATATAAAAGAGAGAAATGTTTGCTAGAGAACAAGGACAGGTGGGAATAATTAAGGTCAAGGCAGTTGTGAATCAGCTCAACACGAGAGTGGGGATCACGGCCAGCTCAGAGTAAGAAACAAAACACACAGGCAAGAGAGAGAAAAAAATGGATAAAGCACACAGAAAGACACACAGGTAATCTAGCCTGGACAACAACAATCCTAGTTATTAAATAATGCTGCAACACATGAAGATTCAATGAGTCATGAAGACATGGCTTGGTAGCCTTCTCTGCCATCAAGCAGCTCAATTTTCTTTATTAATAACTATGCCTTCATAATAGTAAGGTTTTTATTGCAACCACTGAGTTTAGAGAATTTGAGAATTCATAG